TCAGGGGAAAATGAGGGAATGGTGCACGACCATTCAAAAATATGACTGGGTTTCTAACGATACAAAGCTTAATGCAAATGGGTGAAGTGTCCCTTTAACAGATAAAGAACAGATAACACCAGGATACATTTTTACAATTTATTTCTGACACTATAACTATAACTATTTATATAACTATAAAAACAATGCTGTTTCGTACTTAAAACAACCAAGGTTAAAACAATAAAACTAGGTTAACATGCAGTTTAAACAAACTACAAATTATCTCCAAATAAAACAGACAAAAAAAAGCTTTAAATCCAAAAACATACAATAAAAAAACTACCATAAACTCAGTATATTAAAATGTAAAGCGTTCAAGTAACATAGGTCTGTAAAAAAACAGCAGTATGAGTTGTTCCAATTCACCACTGCTGTGGTGTCCGCATCCCACAGCTCACCAGCACACACAGGAGACAGGAGGAGAGAGAGTGCAAGTGATTAGTACAAACCGAATAAGTATTATCCCGCTGTACTATTTACAATAAAACTTACTGCTGACCGACAAAGTAACAGAGCAGACACAAACAGCCTGTATATGGAGAGAGGAGCAGAGAGAAGCGGGGTGGGTGTAGGTGTCTGCGTACACCATATACATAAGGCTTTTAATGTTATTGCTTTAAGTCATTAGAAATTCACAATACTTATTTGACTTTTCCTGTAGGTAAGATACTACAACACCTTTTCAGCGTCATTCATATTCAGCTGGAAACATCACATTAAAAATAGAGCCAAAATTGAAGCCCAAAAGTGAAGGATCAATGGACAAATCTTTGAAGGTACCAATTTTCCCCATTGTAATAAATGTTATACCCAAGTCTTGTCAATTTAATTCAAGCTGTTTCAAATGAATTCAGATATGTTTACAACAACATTTTGATTTGTGAGACTATGATTTATACAGATCTGTCAATTTTTCATCCAGCTGTATATGTCCTATCAGGGAAATACATTTATACATAATATACACAGAAACTACATGTTTTAAGTCTTAAGCATGACAATTATGTTTGTTATCTCAAGGAAGAAGAAGACTGCCAGAAAGGGGAAAGCAGCCAGCCTCCTAATTTACAACCTGCTGCAAAGGTTTGTCATATTACATTTTATATATCTGTGTTGGCAAATAAAACTTATACATAGTCTACACAGCGACTAATTCTTCTTGTTTAACTTTTGGGGCACATGTTCTTGTTTTTGTTAGATAGAATTTTGTTTATATAAGAGCACATGACAAAAACAAAGTTAGTATGTGTTTACATTTAACAAGAATAGTTATTGAATAGATGGATGGTTTAAGGGAGGTATTGCTTTAGTCAGTCAAGTGTCTTGTTGAATTAAATGGGACTGTGTTTCATTCCTAGGAAGAGGAGCCACATGCAACTCATACTTTCGAGTGGTGCTGGAACGACAAGAAATCCAAGGTTACCTGCAATAAAGCAAGAACTGTTGAGGAGTTGCTGAAGACAAGTTCACAGTTTAAAGAAATTGCAGGAAAGAACAAAGACAAAAAGCTTGTTATTTTAAGAGAAGGGAAAGCTATCAGTTCACACTTTCCATGCTGCTTAATTAAGGATGAACGTCTGATTATCAAGTACGTTAAAGCTGTAGACAGGGAGGAGCAATCGTTGGGGGGAAATTGTGACCCCGTTGCTCTGAGGAGAAAGGGGCCATCTAGCGAGCTTGTGATGTTTCACGTGCTGACAAAGGGAGGTAAAAATGTAGCACAAATCATGAGAAACCCAGTAATAAAAACTGACTTTCAGGAAATTACTGTTTATGCATACAAAGGGGAAAAAGTGAAGCACGCTCTGAAAAGAGACGGCCGTTTACGTAATATTGTATTCAAAAAGAACTGTGCGCTCTCTCACAAAAGCACTGAAGTAACCACTGAAATGTCCACTCTCGCTGATGATCTTGATGGTGAAACCTTCAAGATCATTCTGCTCAATAAGTCTGCTCCACCAGAAAGTCAGCCCGGTAGTCAGGATGACGCTTACATGATGCAAAATGAATCTCTGAACTCTGAATCTGACAGAAACCAAGATCGTCCACAGGAGTCTGCCACAAC